TGTTCTTTCCACTTCCAGATTATGGCCCCAACAGTGCTCATTGGAACATTCAGATTTTTAGAAATCCTGCTGTAACCAATGCCATTAGTATGTTTTGCAACAATAAGGTTGCAAAGGTCTTGAGAGAGCTCTTTGCTTTTACCCATCACAAGATGTTTCTTGTACGACACCTTGGGACACCTTTTTATAGGGCATCAGTTGAGACTGAACCAGCGGATAATAATTTGCACTGACAAGGGGCAAGATTGCCTTCTAATGGCTGATAGTTTTAGCTTTCTATGCCTTTTTGCACCTCCCTTTCTTCATGTGTTCAATACTTTTTTCCTGTGTCATTCCATTTTATTACACATAACCAAATTTCTGAACTTATTTGTTTTGGTTTCTTGGTATGTATGGATTGCATGGGTTGTTACAAGCATGTGGTGAAAATTTCATGTCAATAGCACCTTTACAAATATACTTATGTATTTCTAAAAGTGCTATTGTTTTGGACCAGGGTGGTGCTGCGGACATAGCATATCTTGATTTCAGGAAGACATTTGATACAGTTCCACATAATGATCTAATACAAGAGTTGTACAAGCTAGGATATAGCCATTGGGTGGTTCAGTGGATATGCAGCTGGATAAGGATAGGATACCAGAGTGTGGTTGTAAATAGAGTTCGGAAAAGAGACCAGTCACTACTGGTGTACCACAAGGCTCTGTACTAGGTGTCCTGTTCTATTTAATCTATATGTAAGTGATATAACTAAAGGTTTGTTGGGTAAGGTATGTATTTTTGCTACTGACACAAAGGTGTGTAACAGGGTTGATATCCCTGGAGATGTTTGTAATATGGAACCTGATTTGGCATTGCTGGAAGATTGGTCAAAACAGAGGAAAATGCAGTTCAGTTTCTAAATGTGAAAGAATACACCTAGGGAAAAATAATCCCTTGAGAGAGTACAACATTGGGGATACAGTGTTGGCCACAGCACTACAGAGGAAAAGGACTTGGGGGTACTTAATTCAGATGATTGCAAAATGAGCAAACAGTGTGGCCAGGCAGTGGGGAAAGCCAATAGAATTCTAGGATGCATCACAAGATGGGTCACCAGCAGGAGGAAGGAGGTCCAGATCCCCCTATATAGATCTTTAGTTAGACCTCGTTTAGAATACGTATCCAGTTCTGGAGACCTCACTTACAAAAAGATATTGATAAGATAGAACAAGTCCAGAGACAGGTAACAAAAATGGTGAAAGGTCTGGGGGATAAAACATATCAAGAGCGACTTCAGAAACCTAACATGTACAGTCTGGAGGAAAGAAGGGAAAGGGGGAGACATGATTGAAACCTTTAAATACATCAAGGGGGTGAATAAGGTTCGGGAGGGCAATATTTTCAACATGGAGGATCGTTCAAAACTAATCTCAGAAAGTACTATTTTACTGAAAGAGTAGTTGATGCTTGGAATACACTTCCAGCTGAGGTAGTGAGTCAGTCAACAACAAATAGCTTTAAACATGCGTGAGACAAGCAGAGATCTATACTCAGAAGAAAAAAAGTTAAGCAATAAAAAATAAATAAAACAAAAACAGGCAGACTCGATGGACCACTCAGTCTTTTTCTGCTGTCACTTTTCTATTTACCAAGAAAAAAGATGACTTACTTTACCAGGTGTGTGCGCGAGCGTGTGTATATATATATATATATATATATATATATATATATATATATATATATATATATATATATATATATATATATATATATATATGTACAGTGGGGCAAAAAAGTATTTAGCCAGCCACCAATTGTGCAAGTTCTCCCACTTAAAAAGATGAGAGAGGCCTGCAATTGGCATCATAGGTAGACCTCAACTATGAGAGACAAAATGAGAAAAAAAATCCAGACAATCACATTGGCCGATTTGGAGAGAATTTATTTGCAAATTATGGTGGAAAATAAGTATTTGGTCAATATCAAAGTTCATCTCAATACTTTGTTATATATCCTTTGTTGGCAACGACAGAGGTCAAACGTTTCCTGTAAGTCTTCACAAGGTTGGCACACACTGTTGCTGGTATGTTGGCCCATTCCTCCATGCAGATCTCCTCTACAGCAGTGATGTTTTGGGGCTGTCGCTGGGCAACACGGACTTTCAACTCCCTCCAAAGGTTTTCTATGGGGTTGAGATCTGGAGACTGGCTAGGCCACTCCAGGACCTTGAAATGCTTCTTACGAAGCCACTCCTTCATTGCCCGGGCGGTATGTTTGGGATCATTGTCATGTTGGAAGACCCAGCCACGTTTCATCTTCAATGCCCTTGCTGATGGAAGGAGGTTTGCACTCAAAATCTCACGATACATGGTCCCATTCATTCTGTCCTGTACATGGATCAGTCGTCCTGGTCCCTTTGCGGAGAAACAGCCCCAAAACATGATGTTGCCACCCCCATGCTTCACAGTAGGTATGGTGTTCTTTGGATGCAACTCAGCATTCTCTCTCTCCTCCAAACACGACGAGTTGTGTTTCTACCAAACAGTTCTATTTTGGTTTCATCTGACCATATGACATTCTCCCAATCCTCTTCTGGATCATCCAAATGCTCTCTAGCAAACTTCAGACGGGCCCGGACATGTACTGGCTTAAGCAGGGGGACACGTCTGGCACTGCAGGATCTGAGTCCCTGGCGGCGTAGTGTGTTACTGATGGTAGCCTTTGTTACGTTGGTCCCAGCTCTCTGCAGGTCATTCACTAGGTCCCCCCGTGTGGTCCTGGGATTTTTGCTCACCGTTCTTGTGATCATTTTGACCCCACGGGATGAGATCTTGCGTGGAGCCCCAGATTGAGTGAGATTATCAGTGGTCTTGTATGTCTTCCATTTTATAATTATTGCTCCCACAGTTGATTTGTTCACACCAAGCTGCTTGCCTATTTCAGATTCAGTCTTCCCAGCCTGGTGCAGGTCTACAATTTTGTTTCTGGTGTCCTTCGACAGCTCTTTGGTCTTCACCATAGTGGAGTTTGGAGTGTGACTGTTTGAGGTTGTGGACAGGTATCTTTTTATACTGATAACAAGTTCAAACAGGTGCCATTGATACAGGTAATGAGTGCAGGACAGAGGAGCCTCTTACTGAAGAAGGTACAGGTCTGTGAGAGCCAGAAATCTTGCCTGTTTGTAGGTGACCAAATACTTATTTTCCACCATAATTTGCAAATAAATTCTTTCCAAATCAGCCAATGTGATTGTCTGGATTTTTTTTCTCATTTTGATTCTCATAGTTGAGGTCTATCTATGATGCCAATTACAGGCCACTGTCATCTTTTTAAGTGGGAGAACTTGCACAATTGGTGGCTGACTAAATACTTTTTTGCCCCACTATATATATATATATATATATATATATATATATATATATTATATATATATATAAAATACCTAAACAAGAGATGGCCGAAATGATGCTCATGCATAAAACATTTTACAAATCCATTTCTGTGTGAGGACATGATTAACCCTAAATAAATCATTACAGTTATGAGGCAGTTAATAGAGATTATTCTGGATTAGAATGGTTCTGCTACACATTTCTGTTGGCAGCCATCTAATTCTAAAGATTATCCTTAGCTTGATCCTAGAATGTGTGGTATTTACAGCAAGATCGTATGTAATATGAGGCATGCAAAAAAAAAAGTACTTTAATGCATTAAGAACAATGAGTAATATGGGACTTGCTATTGAAAATAAATTATAGGGACAGTCCAGAAAACCAAAAAGGTTTGTTATTTTTCACAGACCTGCGTACTAGCCTCTATATTCTGTTATTGTTAGTATACTCCGTTTATTCATTCTATTTTATGCCTTTTGTTTTACATTACATCCAACTCTATCATGACATTAATATCTACTACTGAATTGTTACAAATATATGAAACCATTACCACCGACTGTATTAGACTACCCACCTTGTAGAATACTGCATATTGCCTATTTTCCATACCTGCCAGTGTAATCTCTTTTAAAACCTCAAACATTTATTGAAATTAATCCAGAAGGATTTCATAAATAAGGGGCATACAGAATTTCATGAATGTGACATTTAATCGCTTAAGGACGCCCTATAGCAGACATACTGCTACAGGGCTCACCTGTGTGCAAAATCACATATATATACGTGATTTAGCATTTCCAGGTAGGGGGCGCATGCAAGCGCCCTACCCGTGCTGCCATTCGCGGATGTCAATCACTGGGTCCCGGCCGGTAACTACCCTCCGGCGCCCAAGCATCTCTGACGGGGAGGAATATTGTTTGGTTTACTCGAGCACACTGCTCGGGATGGCTGTGCACCGCCATCTGTAAACACTATAACTTTCACGTAAACCAATTAATTTACACGTATTGGGATTTATTTTTTTTTAGCAAAGACATGTCGCAGAATACATTTTGGCCTAAATTTATGACAAAATTTTATTTTTTAAATTTTTTTACTGGACAGGTTTAATAGCAAAAAGTCCAAAATACTGTTTTTTTTTTTCTCAAAATTGAGCGCAAAAGAAAAACAAAAAAAACAAAAAAAAAAAGCGCACAGGTGATCAAATACCACCAAAAGAAAGCTCAATTCGCAGGGGAAAAAAAAAAAAAAAAAAAAAGGACGTAAATGTGGTGTGCAGCGTTGCATGACCACGCAATTGTCAGTTAAAGTAACGCAGCACCATAACGTAAAAAATGGCCTGGTCATGAAGGGGGGTAAATCCTCAGGAGGGCAAGTGGTTAAAAGAAACCAAAACTGCTCATTCAGTCATTTGGTACTGAAGTGGTAAGATCCACAGACCAGAATAGTAACCAAAAGGGTGGATAAAAAAAAAAAAAAAAAAAAAAAAAAACTGCTCATGCGTAGCTACTACATCCTTAAACTTAAAAGAAGCAGAGTACAAAAAAAACTGAATTATATTAGACAAGGTAGCACACAGAAATAACCAACTTTGCATATAGTTTTACTTATTTAGTACTGTACCTATAGCGGTGCATGGTATTGGCTGTGTAATGATATGGTCTGTTGAAGTTTCTCCTCTTTGGCTCGTCTACTATGGCAGCACTGTAGAAAAAAAACAAAAATTCAAACAATCAAATCGATCAATCAGTTCTCACAAATGCTTTATACTTGACAAAAGTTAAATAACCAGGGTTGTTCAGCTTCCACCATATAAAATGTATGAAATTTTCTGTATATTTTATTAGCATTATGCAGTCAGTTTAGATGCACGCTGTGTGTGGCAGAGTTCTTTTAAATAGGATTAAAGTGGTTCTTTTACCTAAATACATTCTATGCATGAAGGTAAAATCCTTCTGTGTGCTGCTCCCCCCTCAGCCCACTCAATAGTTACCCGAGCTCAATTGTGATCCAGTGCTGTGCACAAGAGCAGCATCTCTCCCGGGTCTCTCCCTTCTCACTGGCTGAGACACAACGGTGGAAGCCATTGGCTCCTGATGCTGTCAATCACAGTCAGTCAGTGAGGAGAGGGAGTGGGGGGGAGTCGAGTCGCACTCTGTCTTATAGATAACAAAATTGGAACTTTTATATTACTTTAATGTCACTATAACAAAAACAGATGATAAATTATAAAACAAACACACACAAAAAAAATAAATAAATAATACACACACACTTTTTTAATATCTTACAAAGATTTAATTAACATCTCTTCTAGTGCTTTGTTCATCTCATGCAGAAATACTTACTGTTCTTTTTTCCATGAATAAGTTTAGAAAATCATCTATTTCCGTTTTTCCCTCAAGGAAGTTCTCTGCAATACTGTCGGAGTCCTCTTCTGCTTCATGAGCAGCCACTTTCAATCTAGCCTGTAGAGCACTCAAACTGCAGCTCTAATGAGAAAAAAAAACAGTGCCAAAACAGTATATGCACACGAGCTGTGTTATAATCAGCAACTAAATAAGCTGTTTAAATGAACCTGTCAGCCACATTTTAAGTCAAAAGTACCTTTCAGCTAAGCACCATCACCTGTGTATACTCTGTTCAATAAGAGCATTCCTAAAAGTCAATGAAGTGCTCTCATTGGACAGGGGATGGCAGCTGGGCAATCAAGGTCCTGAAACCTCAACATAAAGTATAAACATTGTAAGAGGCTAGTCTTACTTTAACCACTTTTGTACCAATGTATGTTTATCAACAGCAGTTCTGTGGCCCTTTATTTACCCAGTGCCATTTATGAAAGGCACTGGATAAAAAGCCCTCAGGTGGCCAATTCTGAGCACTGTGTACCAGTCACTACACAGCCATTCTGAGCATCACAGTGATGACATGGTATTGTTTACTGTGTTGATCTCTCCCATTACAACAGGGGAAGTATCAGTATTTATGAATGGGCACAGGATGAATGGATCCATGGCTGGCTCTGACGCACCATTCATTCTGTTGCAGGGACACACTGATTTTCTTTTTACACTTTCCTTCCCATCTCCTCTCCTACACTATCTACCTGCAATATATCAACCGGTTATCCTGCCCATCTGAACATTAACCCCTTTACTTCCATCCTCCTACTGTATGCAATCAGTAAATAAACCCCTTCACTTCCTCCTTCTGTATTATGGCCTGTACATTAAGGTTTATAGTACACCATTCTCAAGCTCTGTGTTTAACCCCTTCAGTACCGACATGTTTCTTCATTTTCAAAAAACTGATTAAAAAAAAAAAAAAAAAAATCAGATGACCTTGAAGTGTCTACATTTAAAACCCCCCACTAAATCACTATTAAATACCACTAAAAGAAAGATGTAAAATTTATTTGGGTACAGCGTTGCATGATTGAGTATTTGTCAGTCAAACTATCACATGGCTGGAAACTGATAAATAGCTTAGTAATGAAGGGATATATCAGGCTGGTACAGAAGTGGTTAAGTAAGCCACATATAGAGACATAACTGTTCCCCTAAATTATTTAAATGATTTATTTAATAATATTTAAGTTAAAGCACAGCCAAGAAATGTGGTGGTTGTTCTTCAAATATTCTTTTATCTGCACTACAAACTCTGTAGAGCTCTGCACAGGCAAAACAAGCACCAAGTTCTTGTGCATTACAAGTGTTTTCACAGACATCTGTCACAAAAACTGAGTTGCTTTAATTTACCATTATTAACAACATTCCCAGCTGTCATTAGTTGCATTATTTCACCATTCATAATAGTATTATGGTTCATATTTTGCCCAGGATGAAAGCACTCACTGGCATTACTGGCAAGTCACAGGTAGCACAGTTTACGGTGTCTGGCCCATACAAAGATGTATTCATCACTTTTCTCATAGCACAGCCATTTTTTACTGGGCAGTACCAAGTGGTTGCATTCATGGTTTTTTTTAATAGACCAGAAAATGGGGGGCACACACCAGCTTTAAAGTGAACATGACAACCATTTAAGCCCCTCTCCAACTTATAAAATTGCCTTTAAATGATTAAAGAAACATATGCACTGGATAGAAGTATGGTAGTTGGAAAAGGCTTAGCACCATAAGTCAGAAAAGAGTTCCTATCAACAAACTAAACCAAGAACAGATGAAGACTTTCTGGCTAACCAAAGCACTAGGAAACACTTTGCGATACCATGCTCTTAGCCAGGTTTTCCAATACAGAAACAACACATAAATAAATACCTCACTCAGCTCATGCTGTCTTTGTAATTTCTTTTCAAATGTGGCTTTCATTTCTGTGAGAAGCTCATACTGAAAGAAACACAAAATATTATTATTATTACATTGAGTTTATATAGCGCCAAAAGGGTTTGCTCAGCACTTTACAATAGAGGGGTGGACAATACATGAAACATTACAACAACAAACAGCACACGAGGGGGTTAGAGGGCCAAAATATGAAGACAAAATAGCAATGGGACAACCCCGGCAAACATGAGCTTCTTCTCACTTACTTTGTCTAAAAGCGCCTGTCTCTTTGACTCTAGAATAGGCTCCAGCTTAAGATTCTTTTCTAAAAAGAAGGAGTAGGGGAAAATAAGAAATTATTTTGTACATTACACACAACATATAACTGGAAGATAGATCTGATTCTTACTTGCTAGTTCCTCTATGTTTTTCACCAGGTCCTCCTTATCAGATATTATCTGTTTTAACTGTGGCAGATTAACAAACTGTTCCAGAAGAACATCTTCCTGCTCAGTCATTTCTGAGAGCTGGGACACACTGTAAAGAAATAAATGACTAAACATTGCAGCACAGAGATGGAGTACATGCATATACACATTTAATAAAATAACCATATATTTACAAGAAAGATCTACCAAATGGCTAAAGACACTTCTTGTAAACATTTTAGCGATTAGTAGAAAACATTTTTTTTTTTTTTTTTTAAGCAAAGACACCATTGTCAGTTTCTATACAAAGTTCTGACTATTTACGTTTACCACTGCAGCCCGAGCAATACAACGTAGTCACTATGACTGAATAGCTATAGAGCAGAAGCTCCCTGGTGAGGTCATATCTGTGCATTCCCTTCCAATCATCACATTCCTTTTCTGGATCCACAGCACTGTGTAATGCAGTAAAGTCATATAGTGCTATTCTGTCCTCTTCAAGTCTCAATCTTGTTCAGAAGGAGAAAGCAGGAGGCAATAACAAACTGTGGTACTATTTCAATTAAAGTTTTAAACAATTTGAATAAATACACAAGTTAACTGGAAGCTTACATTCACTTGGCACTGTGCATGGCTGTTAGCTGTCAGACTGACCTGTCACTGACAGCTCCAGCACCCACAAACAATCAGGACTATCAGAATGTAATCATGTCAGGTCATGGTAATCACATGGCTTTGTAAACAGCTGTGACAGTATATTTATTGGTCTTTGCACTCACTGGGTATGGAAAAACTAGTCATAGGGGGACATTTACAAAAACTGGAGCACTCGGAATATGGTGCAGCTGTGCATGGTAGCCAATCACCTTCTAACTTCAGCTTGTTCAATAAAAGTATAACTAAAGGCAAAAATTTTTTTTTTAGTTTTGGATAGAGTGGAGGGAGATTAGAACCCCTGCCAGTTTTTATTGTTTGTCTCCCTGTTTAAGTAGATTCACCCTCTCTATTTGTCCTGTTTACCATGACCATTGGTAAACAGGTGGTTGTGGAGGTGCGAGCTGGTTCCGGGTGCAGGAATCGCACTTGTGCCTGCACTCACAACCACCCGCAATGTATTTCTCTTGCGAGAGAACAGCACCTACACACATTATCACGGTGTGACTGCGGGTGTGGGAACGGCACAGAAATGACCATGTGAGTTCCGTCCAAATGCGTTTTGGAAAAGGTGCACGCACCTTTTCCTTGCGTGAAACGTGGGCACAGCAGCCATTCAAATGAATGGGACTGACAGCCTGCACAAACGCAGGCTGCACGGCCGGCATTAGTGTGCACCAGGCCTGAAAGTGAAAGTAAGAGAAAATCCCAAATTTTGGGTTGTCACAAGAAAAGTAATAGAGGGGAAACATTCCAAAGGGGACACTAGTTCTGGTAACCTGGGGTCCCCAAGAAATTTCCTTAATTTGCAGGATTTACTCTCACTTCCTGTTTGGCTATGGGACAGGAAATTAAGGGAAATCTCTGCAATGGGATACTGATGGTGAAAAAGATCTGACATGGGCTATAAACCTCCCTTACTCTATCAAAAACAAAACAAAAAATATAGCTTAAAGTAGAACTATAGGCAAAAGGTGTGTTTTTTTTTTTATACTAAAATACCTAGAAAATCGTACTGGTTTCACACTTTGAATGACAATTGCGTGGTCATGCAAAACTGTACCCATATTAATTTTTTTAGCATTTTTTTTGAGACAGATAAAACTTTATTGTGGTGGTATTTATTCTTTACTGGAATTTTTTTTTTTTTTTGCTATATAAATGAAAAGTCCCAAAATTTTGAAAAAAAAAAAAAGTTTTTCTTATAAAAGTTTGCAAATAATCTTTCTTCATAAATCTTGGCCAAAATGTATTCATCTACCTTTTCAGTTAAAAAAATAAAAATAAATAATAACTCAAATTAGTTTATAAGCAAAAATTATATATTTTCAAATTTTGTTTTACATTTTTATTTAATTTTTTTATATTATTGATGTTTTTTTTAACATACTGTCACCCTAGCAGTACAGTGTCACCATAGTGACACTGTACTAGTGGGGGGTGATGAAGATTTTTTTTCTCTTTTTTTACACTGATTGCTTTTACACCCATAAAGGCTATAAAAGCAATAATTTCTCCTTCTCTCTGGCTGCATTCTTGCAGCCCTTGAAAAATACGGTGAGAGCTGTGATTGGTCACAGCTTGTCACATGGTACAAGGCTGTTGTGAAAAGCCTTGTACCATGTGACCGCTGTGATCATTCACAGATTTCACAAGTGATGTCAGGAAGTGACATCTTGTTTACTACTATTCGTGTGATGATCACATGAATTGGGACCGCACACAGAGGACACAGCAGGCATCGACCACGGTGCTGCGCGCTCCCAGGGAGCACGCACAGGCAATGGTTGTGAGGGGACGTTTAGAAACGTCCACCTGCTCCGGCAGCGCTCCCATCTGGCCCATGTACATAAACAGTTAATGGTATAATATCCATCCTTACACACACTAGAAAAAACACAAACCACTTTGGGGATGGATTGCAGTATAGCATGTTGACATCTTTATTATTAAAAGTAACCATAGTTCATTTCTTGAAGGGTTTTTTTTTTTTTCTTTTTTACTTTTAATGGAAAATACAATTTTCTATTAAAGTTCCCAAAAATGAAGATGAAAACTCAAATGCTCTAGTGATCTGCATCATGCTGTCTTACATGCAAAATGCAATTACTACAACACTTTCATAAATTACAACTGGTGCTCTGATGTGAAACAATTAGTTTCCCTTTTAAGAGGAATAGCGTAAATAAAGAAACCAATATTTCCAATCAAGGCAACCTACACTGACGTTCAATAAAACATTTTCTAAAACCGTTACCTTAATTCCGAGAGTTCAGGAAAAGTATCAGGGAGATCAGGCATCTTGTACGTAAATCCGTTAATGCCCACCTAAACATAAATACAAACAAAAACAGATGTACCAATTGGAGTTCTTTAGCAATAAAAACTCGGTCTAAAATGATGTTAGGTGATGTGTATACAGTTATAACATCTACAGTAGGAACAGGCTGGTACAATATCGCTAATCATCTTCTCACTGCTTGAGAAAACTTGGTTTTATTCCCCAGTGTGAGAGGAGGAGATCTTCAGAGGAACTTTAAGACTGGGAATCCATAACATTTACACATAGGCTGACCCTTTTACCCTTTATCCTAAAAGAAAATATTTTAGCATCTGAAGGTTTAAAGTGTACGATACCCAAACATTTCATATTTCTGATATGTATCTGTTATTAAAAAAAAAAAAAACATCCTGTCTTTTTGCATTGCGTCCTTTGTGTGAAATACCTGGTGATCCTGGCAGTCCCCCTGCTTTCCCATTTCAAACTGACCATTTTGCTTGGGAGCACAGCCTGCCCAAAATCCAATGGTCAGACTTCTGGTGACACAACCCCCTGGACAGCTCCTCACTGGGAAGCTCAGTGTACACCTGCTTCTCTGCCTCCTGCTGAAATGCCCCCTACTCAGTATTTGTCTTTTCATTTTACCCAAAACAGTGTCTGTGTTCCATTCAAGATGTTGCCTCGCCTCCTTCCATATCATTATAAGGAGTCTGCACACCCACCTCTCTAAGCCTCATAAGCAGCTGTGAAAAGAGGGCATGTGAAAAAAAAATATTTATATATACACAGTATATGTTTAGAATGTTATATATATTTATTAAAAAAACAAAACAAAAAAAAAAAAAAAAACACATTTTTTTATTTTTCCATCTCTGGAACTAGGTTTTCTGCAAAGCCACGAGGTATCTTTGTTGTGGTGCACTGGATGTCCAGAATGTCATAAAATCCTTTTAAGGCATTTTCTAATTTTGGAAACAGCCAAAGGTTGCAGGGTGCCAAGCTTGGGGGATTAAGGTGGTTGGTCAACATTGGATTTCTGTGCCAGGAACTCGAACACTTAACGCATCACGTGCAGGAGCATTGTCGTGTTGGGAAAATCCACTTGTCAGGCCAGAGTTCCGGCCTTTTCCTCCAAACACATTCCTGTAACCTTTGTCCACATTTGCATCCATCCTTTGTGTTTTTGGCTGCCCACTTGCATCATTGTGGACCTCTTTCCACTCCCTCCTTAAATCGTTATGCCATTAAAAAACACTTATGGTGAACATGAAATGTTCACCATAAGCCAGTTGTAAACAGAGCTAAAAAGTTTCACTCACACTTTTGCCAATTTTCACATAAAATTCTGATTTTAATCCACAGCTCTAGATTACGGTCATTCATTTCCTGCCAACGGCACAACGCACACATGTTGAAATGTCCTCTACTACTCTGTAAAGACTGAATCAACTGGTCTGCAACCCAGGAGAGTGCAAGTTAAAACATGAGAAAACACACTCAAGTGCAAAAAAGCTGTGTGACTCACACCCATAGTGCTACAATCGGGGCATTCTAAGAATTAAATTGTCACACATTGTATTTTACCTTACACAATAAAGAAAAAAGTAAAAGTAATCTCTCGGTAAAATACAACTCATCTGTACTGTTTATTATGTAAGGTGAGCAAGAGAAGTCTAGAATTAGATGAAACATACACAATACCTTAAATAGCAAAAATTGCAGGCCCCCATCTCCCAGTTTCAGTTAGTAAATCACAACTATACATATGGCTCAGGCTATGTACTCACTTCAGAAGTGGGGACAGGTAGAGGCAAATCACTTATTAAGCCGTAGGAAGGGGCAGCAGCTTTGGCAGTGTTGTAGCTTGAAGAAACAGTCTCCGATACGGGGACTGAGCGATTGGTTTCTTGTGTGGGGAAGGATGGCAGAAAAGAAAAGCCTGGAGGAGGAGGATAAGGAGGATGCCCCGTGGTACTGCTGTACAAGCTAAGAAAGAAAGAAAAGAAAAAAAAAAAAAACAAACATGGTCATAATCCACGCTGGGATTTATAGTGCCCTACATAAAGCTTACACCTCACACACACCAAGAGTACTGGTACCCACATACACCATCATTACTGGAAGGTTGTACGAAGCATTACTTACTCTTCTATTAGTTACATTAAACAATCATTACAATCTCTGTGTGGGAGGGGAGTGTTGCTTGCTTTTCCTCTGACTGATGACAGGTTTGCTTTAAAGCCCTTTCACTTTCAGCCAAAAAAAAAAAAAATTGGGTTTTTTTTTGGCTTTAGGTCGAGAAGATTTCACCTCACTCCCTCACTGGTATTTTTTTGCTTTAGGTCGAGAAGATTTCACCTCATGCCTTTTACTGATGATCAAACAGGAAGTGAAGAGATCTCACCAGTGGGGACACAGCAATAAAAATGTGACTAAGGTTCCAACCAATGCCCACTCTACCCTAAAAAAAAAAAAAAAAAAAAAAAAAAAAAAAAAAAGTCCTATTACTGTGTGCGATCCCAGTGATTAAAGTATTGTGTCCTTTTTATTACCCAGGCTCCCCATTAATTTAGGCTCCTGCAAGCGCAGAAAATCACAGACATAGGACATCCTTCCTTTTTCACTGCGTTTCAGCTAACTCCAAGTGCCAGATGACTATATTATATAGTAATAAATGTCCTCTTCCCACCTGCTTTCATATTTAGCCTCTGCCATAAATAACTGCTTAAAAGGCTCTTCAGAATGATTACAATATAAGTGCACAAAGTTCATTTTGTGTGTGTATTTTTTCACTCTATGCTAAAGTGAAAGTCTATTCTGAGTGTACAAAAGTGAAATAAGCTGTCAGAAATTATCTTTAATTGCCATGTGCTACTTTAATAAACCATGGACCTCTCCTCTGATTAACAAAAGATTAGAGTAGGAATTACAGAACACTCTTGGTCATGTGACACACACACACTCTAAGATATCCGATTGTGACTTGCTACTCAATGTCATTAGATGAGAAGTACAATGAAAGCTTCTTTGGCCACATCTCTCTTGTGGGTCATAGGAGTGCACTTACTTCTCTCATGTGACCCAGAATCAGCTGACAACAAACTAAAGCCTGCTGTTAGCTGATGTCACAGAGTCACTCCAGGCTCTGGAAAGATCCCTACCATGTTGTCGGGTTCCACCCAGCTGCCTGACAGTGAACTCCAGCTCTCAGTGCACAGCTCGGAGCCAAAGCCAGCTGTGCCTGCCCTGTCTTCAACCTGGCATTCTAGAGAAGACCAAGAGTTCATTAGTTATGTGGTTGGTTAGTTCCCAGGCTTAGAACCAGTGGGGGACAGCTGCAGTATCAGACTGATGCTGAGGCTTGGAGGTATGTATACTTTTTAATTATCCCCATACATTTTCTTTAACTAGCAGCACAGAATGCTGGGAAATGTGCATTTATACTGAACTGCTCCACCTTTATGTGTAATAAAATTAGGTGGCTTACCCATTATCTTTGTGACTCATTGTTCTCAAAGACACACTTTAAGCTGTCAACAGATATTTCTTATGACTAGCAGCAATCCGAAGAAAGGTAAACACACGTTTAACACAGAGTTACCCTGAAATCCTATTAGAATACCAAAGATGTTAAGCTGCAGATAAGGTTATTGACAGGCTAAATAAGGATGAAGTTCAGCTTTCTGCTCTGCAGGGACCCAGCATTAACATCAATCTTCTACTCCTAGTGTGGCTGCCATAAACAGATCAGGACATAAACACTGGTCCTGTTTACTAGACACCTGATTTAAAGTGTAGTACACAGTATCAAACTCTAGATACAGCAGCACTGATAAAACCAGGACTCAACCACAGGGTTTTAACCCCCCCCCCCCCACTTTACATGTCTACAAGCCCTAAGGGTGCCACTGCCAAATGCAACTAAGGGCTCATTCACAAGTGCAGTAGGCACTGCTGCTCCTCTGAAAAACGATCCGAGTGTGTTTGCAAAGTGGTGAGGAGGTGGTATGTTGCCTCTTCACCACACCTGATTTAAACCCATGAATGCTGTGCAATACACTAGATTTTGATGCAGTAGTACTGCAATTAGAGGTTTACATCAGGTGTTAGGAGACAACACTGGGCAACACTGTGCCCAATGATCTTGGACTTCTCCCATGTTTTTCAGGTAGGTCTCCACCTCTTTAAGGTCTCCTACCCCTGGCTTAGATAGCCTACTTATTGCCGACACTTTAACAAAACCAATCTCTACTATTTACTCCATGTTGAATACAGCTAATGAACCTAGACGTACCTGTCTACTTCGAAAACGGAGTGCAGATATACCCACGTTAACTAACGACTGGGAAATTTGCCTTAATCATTTTCTGACGAACAAAGACAAGTTTACTCAGATTAAACTATTACACAGGGTATATTATACTCCACTAAGACTATCCCACATCTACCCAAACGTATCAGCACTTTGCCCTAAATGCTTTATTGAAGAAGGCTCCCTTCTCCATATGATATGGTCCTGTCTTAGACTTCAAGATTGTTGGAGGGAAGTCATATCGACTATCCATATGACGGCAAGAATAATGATCCCCCTTTATTCCTTTTGGGTGTCACTGACAACTAGAGGAATCAAGCTATGGGAAATTGTTCATTTTTACACTGCCTTCTATGCTAGAAGGGAAATTTGGTAAAATGGGTGGGTGGGGGGGGGGGGGGATTCGCCATTACCGCCTACTGTAGCCGAGTGGAAAATGGCAATTAACAGAGTCCTGTCTATCTATACATTAACGTATGCTAGCAGCAACTGTCCAAAAAAATCTGGGCATACTGGATAGCTGTAACGGTTTGACTATTGACTATTATCAGACCTATTTGTTATTTTAAAATGCTATTTGTTGAGTTTATTGCCATCTTCGCAGGGGAATGTTTACCCTTTGGCCACCCATCTCTCCTCTCCCCCACCACAAAAATAAATTGAAACTGCTATACAGTGCCAAATCTAAATATATTATATATATACATACACACACACACATATATATACACATATACATATACATACAGTTGCAAGAAAAAGTATGTGAACCCCTTGGGATTACGTGGAGTTTTGCATGATTTGGGCACAAAATGTGCTCTGAACGTCATCTAAGTCACAACAATAGAAGAACACAGTCTGCTGAACATAATACTACACAAACATTATATGTTGCCATGGTTTAATTGCACATAACATGTAAACATTCACAGTGCAGGGAGGAAAAAGTGAGTGAACCTTTGGACTTAATAACTGGTTGACCCTCCTTTGGCAGCAATAACCTCAACCAAACGTTTCCTGTAGTTGCAGATCAGACCTGCACAACGATCTGGAGTAATTTTGGACCACTCCTCTTCACAAAACTGTTTCAGTGTAGCAATATTCTTGGGATGTCTGGTGTGAATCGCTCTCTTAAGGTCATGCCACAGCATTTCAATCGGGTTGAGGTCAGGACTCTGACTGGGCTACTCCAGAAGGCGTATTCTGTGCTGTTGCAGCCATTGTTTTGTTGAATTACTTGTATGCTTTGGGTCATTGTCCTGTTGCATCACCTATCCTCTGCGGAGCTTCAGTTGGCGGACAGATGGTCGTACGTTTTCCTGCAAAATGTCTTGATCAACTCTGGAATTCATTTTCCCATCAATGACAACAATCCGTCCAGACCCTGAGGCAGCAAAGCAGCCCCAAACCATGATGCTCCCTCCGCCATGTTTTACAGTGGGGATGAGGTTTTGATGTTGGTGTGCTGTGCCTTTTTTTCTCCACACATAGTGTTGTGTGTTCTTCCCAAACAACTCAATCTTGGTTTCATCTGTCCACAGTATATTTTGCCAGTAGTGCTGTGGAACATCCAGGTGCTCTTTTGCAAACTTCAAACGTGCTGCAATATTCTTTTTGGACAGCAATGGCTTCCTCCGTGGTGTCCTCCCATGTACTCCATTCTTGTTTAATGTTTTCCTTATTGTAGATGTGTCAACAAAAATGTTAGCATGTGCCAGAGATTTCTGTAGGTCTTTAGCTGACACTCTGGGATTCTTCTTTACCTCATGCAGCATTCTGCGCTGTGCTCTTGCAGTCAATTTTACAGGACGACCAAGCCTAGGGAGAGTAGCAACAGTGCTAAACTTTCTCCATTTGTAGACACATGAACATCAAGGCTTTTGAAGATACTTTTGTAACCCTTTCCAGCTTCATGCAAGTCAACAATTCTTGATCGTAGGTCTTCTGAGAGCTCTTTTCTGCAAGGCATGGTTCACATCAGACAGTGCTTCTTGAAACCAGTAAACCCAAAACAGGTGTGTGTTTTTTAAGGGCAGGACAGCTGTCAGCAACACATCCAATATCATCACACTGATTGGAGTCAAGGTTGGCTCACTCCTGGCTCCAATTAGCTCTGGGAGAAGACATCACCTGGTCTTCCCAGACGGTGATTGAGAACAATCCATGACACTGGCAGGTTTCAGCTTGGCAAAGGGGGGCAGTGCATGCTATAAATTCTGCAGGGTGCCCAAACTTTTACAGACGCCATTTTTTTGTTTTCTGTTATTTTGAAAGTGTAAATGATGGAAATAAAATCTAACTTTTGTTGACATATTATAAGAATGTCTAATCTGTAATTTGATGCCTTTTGGAGATTTTTCCATCTTTCCTTGGCTTCTTTATGCACATTAATACAAATTTTTAGCTGGGGTGCCCAAACTTTCGATCCCCACTGTATATATATATATACACATACATATATATATATATACATACACACACACACACACACACACACATACACACACACACACACACACAAGTGAATACACCCCTCACATGTTTGTAAATATTTTATTATATCTTTTCATGTGACAACAGTGAAGAAATGACCCTTTGCTACAATGTGACTTAGTGAGTGTACAGCTTGTATAACAGTGTAAATTTGCTGTCCCCTCAAAATAACTCAAAACACAGCCATTAATGTCTAAACTGCTGGTAACAAAAGTGAGTACACCCCTAAGTAAAAATGTACAAAATGGGCCCAATTAGCCATTTTCCCTCCCTGATGTCATGTGACTCGTTAGTGTTACAAGGTCTCAGGTGTGAATGGGGAGCAGGTATGTGAAATGTGGCGTTATTGCTCTCGCTCTCTCATACTGGTCACTGGAAGTTCAACAAGGTACCTCATGGCAAAGAACCCTCTGAGGATCTGAAAAAAAGAATTGTTTCTCTACATAAAGATGGCCTATGCTATAAGAAGATTGCCAAGACCCTGAAACTGAGCTGCAGCATGGTGGCCAAGACCATACAGCGGTTTAACAGGACAGGTTCTACTCAAAGCAGGCCTCGCCATGGCCAACCAAGGAAGTTGAGTGCAAGTGCACAGCGTCATATCCCGAGGTTGATTTCGAAAATAGACGTATGAGTGCTGCCAGCATTACTGCAGAGGTTGAAGAGGTGGGGGGGGGGTCAGCCTGTCAGTGATCAGACCACATGCCATACACTGCATCAAATTAGTCTGCACGGCTGTCGTCCCGGAAAGAAAGATGATGCACAAGAAAGCCTGCAAACAGTTTGCTGAAGACAAGCAGACTAAGGACATGGATTACTGGAAGCATGTCCTGTGGTCTGATGAGACCAAGATAAACTTATTTGGTTCAGATGGTGTCAAGCGTGTGTGACGGCAACCAGGTGAGGAGTACAAAGACTAATGTGTCTTGCCTACAGTCAAGCATGGTGGTGGGAGTGTCATGGTCTGGAGGTGCACGAGTGCTGCTGGCACTGGGGAGCTACAGTTCATTGAGGGAACCATGAATGCCAACATGTACTGTGACATGATCCCCGCCCTTCGGAGACTGGGCCCCAGGGCAGTATTCCAACATGATAATGACCCCAAAACACACCTCTAAGACGACCACTGCCTTGCTAAAGAAGCTGAGGGTAAAGGTGATGGACTGGCCAAGCATGTCTTCAGACCTAACCCCTATTGAACATCTGTGGGGCATCCTCAAATGGAAGGTGGAGGAGCGCAAGGTCTCCAACACCCACCAGCTCCATGATGTTGTCGTGGAAGAGGACTCCATTGGCAACCTGTGAACTCCATGCCCAAGAGGGTTAAGGCAGTGCTGGAAAGTAATGGTGGCCACAAACAATATTGACACTTTGGGCCCAATTTGGACATTTTCACTTAGGGGTGTACTCACTTTTGTTGCCAGTGGTTTAGACATTAATGGCTGTGTGTTGAGTTATTTTGAGGGGACAGCAAATTTACACTGTTATACAAGCTGTACACTCACTACTTTACATTGTAGCAAAGTGTCATTGAAAAGATATAATAAAATATTTACAAAAATGTGAGGGGTGTAATCACTTCTGTGAGATATTATATATATATATATATATATACATACATACATATATACATACACACACACACACACACACACACACACACACACACACATATATACATACATATACACACAAACACATCTATATCACCTAGATTGTAAGCTCTACTGAGCAGGGCCCTCAGTTTCCTCTTGTACCAAATTGTATTGTAACTGTAATGTATACCTTCATTTTGTAAAGCGCTGCGCAGACTATTGGCACTATATAAATCCTGTATAATAATAATAATAATAATAATAATAATACACACACACACACAATGGAAAGAATTTGGTAGCCATTTATGCTCAACCCAAAATGAAAGTATTACTTTGGAACGAGACCTTCATTTTTTTTAATTTTTTTTTTTTTAGCACACAGCTGCTGTAGAAACTACATTCCACTGCTAGAACAAAGTAGCAATTGATTCCACAAGTGAAGCATTTCCATCATCGTTAAAACAAACCACTGCTACTTACTAAGGAAACGGGCCAGAAGCTGGGGCTAGTGTTGGAGGATTCTTCCAAAATTCTTCTAACAAGTTTTGCACTATTTTCCCAAGATCAGAGTGCATAGTAAACTGAGGAAAGAAACAGATAAGTAAATAGTTTCCAGTGTAAGAAAAATTAGACTGCCCCACTTTAAGTTAATAGAGCCAAGGGACCTTTCTCAGGCACTCATCAAGAGTGCTGACTATGCCCACCATTTCTGCCCCCTCTATTCACTGCTGTACTATAGCTTCCATGTATGAAAACTGATCTATAGAGGAAAAGTGAATAATTAAAAAGGTCAATCTCATTCATTCATAATAATTATTTTTTCATTTATGGGAGGGGGACAGAGAATTTCAACTATGACAGCTGACACCAGCACAAAGAACATTTCGGATTAAATACAAGTACTGCCCCTTGTGCTGATAAAAAAAAAGGTTTTACCAAATCTTAGGCTTTAATGCTATTTACTGAGGTATTAAGGCACTGATTAAAAGGCAATATATGGCAATTTTTGTACATTCTCTTTTTTACACCTTCAGACTGACAAAGAAGGGCCAATTAATACTATGTGCTGTGACAGACATTTTACCACATGACAGTAGGGACACACAGGAACAGTTGTTTCCTATGTATCCTATTCACACTGCAACGCAGCCTAGTACTGTAGTGTGCTACATTAAAATGCAGACATGATGCATTTTAGTGCAGCGCACAGGCCTGAATCACACTGCAAAATCTGCCAGCGCAATTGCAGTGAATGAGGTGTACATTTTGTATACATCAAATAAAGCTGGTACAAAAACACACAAAAAAGGAAGCAGTGCGATGTGCTGAATCGTGCATCACACTGCTCCCTAGTGCAACCAGCAATGGAGGGCTGTCACAGCGGTAAAGCGTGAATTTTTCCCTAAAGCAAATATTTTGGTCTCCGCTTCACCTGCCATGACAGTGCTTTGTAGTAGGGTGTAAAAAGCCTGTTATTTATGCAACAATGTATCCCAAGCTGCAATATGCACTGGAGGGAGGATTACTCATCCTTTATCAATCAGCTCAATTAAACATTTCAATTAAAATCAGATAGTACAAAGCATCCTGCTATTACTGTGCTCTTTAGGCAACCCATAATATGCTGAGAATTCTGTCATGTATAACATGTATAACATGTACATTCATAAAAAAAACAAAAAACAAAAAAAAAAAAAACACATTTTTAAAAAGAATTGCTCTAAGACCATTAATGTTTTCACTTAGAGGCGCACTAAAATCTTTTCTAATTGCAGGGTTAGTGATCTTACTAGTGCCTAAAACAATATTCAGCTTTGCATGCACCTTAGCTCACCTAAAATCTAGTAAACATCTAAGTAGTGTTAAGGCCCCATTCACACCTTACCGCTCTGGGGATGCATGTTTTTGCATAGTTTCCCCACAGAAATCCGAGAAAAACATGCACTGCACTTGGTGTCATTAATTCTTAATGACACCCTAAACACAGGCAGCAGTCGCACATTACCGGCTTTGAACCTGTGGTATGTTAGTTATGTTTGCCGTTTCTAGGTATCACGGTGTACTACCCATGATGTTTTAAACTGTAAATTATGGCAAAATGCACCCTCTTCTGTAGCAATCAATTCTTAATCAATGTCCCTTAATTTTTACATTGTTTTGAAGCCAGCACTCATGATATCTCAGAGACTAAACTCTAGTTCCAATTTAAGCAACAGCTCCGTTGGGCTCTATTGCTGGCATCACAAAGAAAATGCCGTCAATTCTTCAGAGTATTCACTGGGAGGCAGATTTCATAAGGGCTGATTAACAGCGTAATACCTCCCAGTGTCACTCCTAACAACTGTTATGGGGCTACAGTGCACTTTGAGTCTCTGTAGCTATCCTTCATCCCAGGCTGCCAATCTCTGAAGTATGAATCAGGAACTATGGAGAACCAAAGTGTCACAAGCATATTATATATGCTGTACATTTTTTTTTTTTTTTTAATATTCACACTGTTTTCCACACACAATCTCTTTTACAACATTGAAAAAACAATTCAACACGAACATAAAAAAAACACACATTGTTTACTAAAGGACATGTGATGTTTGTGCCTTGTGTGTCCACTAGATGATGTCTAATTGGAGGAAAGACTGTGATGACTGGTTTCTCTTGAGGAAATTGTGGAGGAAGCAAGCTGTAAAGGAAAAATATTGTATTACATTGTTTGGTATATTGCAACAATCACACACAGAGCACACAAGCAAATATGAGCAAAAAAAAAAAAAAAAGGAAGCAGACTTTGATGGCAACATTTACTTGTCTTGCAGTCTTGGAATTTTTTAGGGTGTGAAGTTTAAACATTAGAGGAGGAGACATTTATGTTAGGTGACCACTGTGGGCACAATCATATCACCATACTGCTTCTTTGTGTTTTGGGTAAAATCTTTGTTCAATACCTTTTGCATTATGGGAGCCAGTGAGAAACCCACTATTGGAGATTACTGATAATTAAGTGGCTGTGATGCAAGCACAGGCAGTCTTTCTACTGAGCAGGGGAGAGGAGTATTTATGACTATTTGGCAGTAGAACCTACAGTACATTGGGCTATAATACCATTTATTTTCTTATTGCCTCATTTTCCTGAAGATGGGGATAGCAAAACACGTTAGAAATGTAGCCACTTCCTATGTGCCTACTGTATATGAAATGGTGCAAGCAAATTTTGTGCAAGGAATGATGTAAAATTGGCATAACATGCTGTACTACATTTATAGATATGAGTGTGGCCTGCGGGAAAAAAAAAATCTCTTATACCTAGATGTGGTCATTTAGAGGCAGAGGCATTTCTCCCCACAATCATAGGCCTAAGGATGTATATGTAAAACTTCAAGTGCGTATTGTAAATTGCTCATTTTAATTTTGTATACAAAATGAAGTATAATTGTAATATTTTAATATTTCATTTAATGTTTTAACTTGGCACCTTAAAAGTCCCAATATTGCAACCCAAGAATTGTTTTGGCACATAAAGCCAGGGATGCAGTGCCTTTGTCACTCATCACACCATTCTAAAATGTTCTACTTTTTTACAGCAACATAAAAAGATTACTGAACTTTTTATACCATAGCACTCATTTATTTCAGTTCTTTTTCGCATTGACAAAAGATTTACCTTCACATATTTTTTTTATTTTAGGAATGTCCCATTAAACTTCTATGACAAGCTAACATATGAAATGTTTATGTTTACACCAGACACTCACAATGCCACCTGGCCATGGTAGAATTTTCAGACATCAAAGATAAAAGCATTAAAAGTGCACATATCCTTTAAAAAGACTGCCACAAAACATAAAAAAAACTATTTTGGAAACCTGACAGAAGATGCAATTCAGATTCCTAGGCCACATAATAGCTGAAACTATTGTAATATTAGGGAACTCAGCTCAGAGGCATTTGTAGCCAGTCCAAACTGCGGTTTTTAAGATGTTCCAACCCACTTTTTTATTAAACAAAGTAAAGTCCACAAAACAGCAGGAGATTTTCATCAGCAAAAACAGATAATTGAAAAATGTTTAGCCACTTGGCACTGCTGCTTAAACCTCAAACTTGGTTATTCACTGGTCCTTCGGACTGTCTAATGCAGCTCTCCTGGCTCTTGGAGCGTTCCTGGGGCTCTCAGCCTACTAGTTACAGTACCCTACTGCACAGGCCCACTCCCTGGCCTCTTGATAGGGGTTCTGACACCCTGGGCTCTCTCACTCTTTTGAGACTTCCATGTCACCCTCAGTCCCTTGGACTCACCCAGTTGTCTCAGCTCTCCCAGACTATCTCAGCTGGTTTGACTCTCTCTAAACCGTATGAACAAGGTATCTTTCATGATACCTTGGGGTATCATGGGGAGCTATCTTGGGGTAGCATCTCCTGAGTAGAGCACCACTGTCTCCTAACAGGAGTGCACACGTCTCCAAAACAGGAGCCCTAAGATATGCCTACAACTATCACCGCTGTGGGCACCTGGACACACCCCGCTGGTCTTTAGCAAGACTTACTCACTGGGTTGGAGATCTCTTCCTTCCCAAAGCAATTCAAAGTCTCCAAACTATGGAACCCAAGCTGGGAATACCAAAATACAAAGAAAGCTGTTCTTCCTCTTCATATTTGATACTCTGAAGTCACGCACTTGGTATACATGTGAACCCCGTGTCTTTTCTACAACCATTTTTCCCAGTCGCAGGGCCTCTTAAATTTAAATAATTTGCACCAGACCAATTTACAAACTAAAAGTCAACCAAAGGCAGTCTCCATCCAATCATCCTGCACAGGTAATTTGCTTTGTGATGTAGTCACTTTAAGGCCAAATGTTGCTTAGAATTTAGCACTGGAATAGTGAATTAAACACTGACAGATGTATATATCAAATAAGTGCATATCCATACAGATACCTATAGGTTACGCACTAAGATTTTCTGGTAGTAGTTGCAAGTATAGGCTATCGGCTCATAAGTGTTGGCAGCGATGATCACCTTCAGAAGAAAACTAAGTGCATATACCAACAGCAACTTGGTATTTGCATATCCACAGATCTGCTTTCCACAAATACTTGTACTTAATGAGAGCTAGCTTGGGACCAGGGCACAAAAACAAGTCTTTGTAGCTATAGCTAACTCAACAAAGCAACATTTTATTATTTTGTTCCTCCCTCTCCTCACAGAAATGGTAAAAAAAAAAAAAAAAAAAAAAAAAACAACCCATTATAAGGTTTATCTTTGTTAATTTTTGTGCTGCAAGGTAGCACTTCCTGGTTTCTGGCTTAGGCTGGGTCTTCCTACGTCACAGCCATCCCAGGAGGCAGTGTATTACCAAACCACAACTTTGCGGCACATCTCCACATGCGTGACTGAGTTCCAAGCACACACACCACTGGCAATATTGTGCCCAACTGCATGCGTTGTGAGCATGCAAAGAAATCCACCATGAAAGGATGGAAGTGTGGAAGAGGAGTAATAGAAGGGGGGTGGGGGGAGGACATTCATGCAGTGGTTAAATTCCATTTTAAGCACAAACTCTGCACAATGCACCAAGAAACCATAAATAATACTTACATGTTTATGTTGATGGTCACATTTTTTACGGTAATTGGTAATCTGTATTCCACATCTTTCTGAATTTCAGTGATACTGTTAATAGAATTATAAAGATCATTTATTAAAGCATTTTTTTTTTTACTAAAAGTAGAATATAATATAGATATATATATACACACTGTGGGAACTCGCTTATTAGTGGTAGAGCTTCTTCAAAGCATACTGCAACTCGCTTCTTTTTAAGGGCCCTTTTGCCCAATTTTATTTAAAGGAAAAGTTCCAAAAACACAAATGCTTCCCACACAGGGGTATCCACGATCAAACAAATTCAGCCTTCTGGCTCTTTCAGCTACACAGCTTTATATTGGTCTCCTACAGACTCCTTCCACAAATTATGGCCACTAGCACACAGCTAGTCTGGCTTCCTCCTGACTCCAAGGCAGAGACCTCCCGTCTGCCAGGGTGGAGCCCTCCTGACTCCTGCCGGGTGGAGCCCAGAATCATGGCCTGGCCTCCACAAAAAGGCCTGCACACACCTGTGCAATCAGCGCACTGGCTGCTCCCAAAATATGGGCCCAGGATTGGAGATTTCATCCCTCCCAATTCTCTTAGAAATCTCCAGGCTACAGGTCCCAAAACAGGCTTTACAAACCAAAGAGGAAACTGATAAACCAGTTTCCTCTGCATTATGAGATCTGCCTGGAGCCCCTCAACCTGTATGGTTGAGAATCCTGGGTCTCCATCACGATTTCCACCGTGGCAGGATACCGTACTGCCACAACACACACACATACATAGACACTTTAAATTCTACTCTAAAAAATTGTGAAAAACTACATATGGAAACTCAATTCAGACTAAAAGATATATAAAAGTTCTACAGAGGGAACAGGGAAAAAATAAATAAATAAATAAATAGGAGGAGATGTCTTCCATCCATTGTAAATTAGAATACGATTGTACACATTATTATTATACTTTATATAGCGCCAACAATTTGCGCAGCACTTTACAATATAAGGGAGACAGTACAATTACATTTCAGCACAGAAGGAATATGAGGGCCCTGCTCATGGATCTTACAATCTAAATGAAGGGGGAGGTGATACAAAAGGTGATAGCTGCAGGGGATGATCTGGTGGAGGTGATTCAAGTACAGTTCTTAGGTGGACGTGGGGTAGGCTTCCCTGAATAAGTGAGTTTTCAATGATTGCTTAAAGGCAGACAAGGTGAGGGCTGATCGGACATAGTGTGGTAGGGAGTTCCAGAGGATGGGAGAGGCTCTGGAGAAGTCCTGGAGACAAGCGTGGGAGGAGGTGATGAGGGAGCTAGAGAGGAGGATATCTTGGGAGGAGCGGAGTGGGCGATTTGGGCGGTATCTGTGGATGAGGTTGGTGATGTAGCTAGGGGCAGTGTTGTGGATGGCTTTGTAAGCTGTGGTTAGTATTTTGAATTTTATGTTTGGTTAGTGGAAGCCAGTGAATGGATTGGCAGTAAGGGGCAGCAGTCACTGTTCACACATAACAGTAAGTATATAGCTTCCCCCTCTCAAGGTTGCTATTGCTGAAAGTGTTTAGAGCAGAATTCCAGAATAGAGCTTTTACACATAGCTGCATTGATCCAGCTTGGACCTTAGACCAGGCATTGATAAATTTGCTTTGAATCTAGGAGCCAGCTAAAAATGTAAGGAGCCAGGTGTGGGGGGCAGCATCACAGAAGGGGGGCCAGGAGGGGTAGCTGAGCCTGTGTCCACCTAATTATTTGAAATTCCAGGGGTTTCGGGACACAGGGCTGAGCTCCATCCTGTAGGGCGGAGGAGAGGAGCCGGCCGAGGATGCTGGGTTGGGGAGTGCGGGAAAGCGTGGGCTGGCGGGGGCCCAGGTGCCAGGACATGATTTTTGGTCGCCATGGTGACCTGGATCCCGGGATTTGTCAAGTCCTGCCTTAGACACTACTACTACAGTGATCTCCACTGGTTTCCAGGTCAAGTGACAAGCAGCTGCTGTCCTTCATTGTGAACACAGGGGGTCAGCTGAGTGGCATGGGCTCATTTAAAACAAAGCTTTGCATTTTCTGATACTCCGTAATTTCTGAATCAATGCAAAGCTTTCTCTGATTGCATGAAGTGAAGAGCGTGACATTGCTGTCCTGCCTCTCCATTTAATCCAATCATAGAGTGTTTTGCATTCATTCAGAAAATGCAAAGCTTTCTCTGAATGGCGCCTGTGTTGACCTCATGTGGGAGAGCAGCTGCTTGATGCAGGACCTGGAAGTTGAGATCACCAGAGTATTGCTGTCCATTTCAGAAATATCCAGCTTCCAGGGGCACCGGCCAGGTTTGGTATATACATAGTTTCAATGGCTTAAACTGGATGTATAACATACTGATGCCCGGAATTATTTTTAAGAAAAGATATGGATGTACAAATATAAAGCCAACAAATATTAGACAATCTTTGTGTCGGCAGGAATACAGGGGCAATTTATAGCAGCTCAACTATGCAACTTATCTTGGGTATAGCGGAGAAGGAATATCCCCATTTGTGTATGCCACAGTATTTACTCCATACTGGACCCACATTTTACAAGGCATTTATAAATTGCAGGCTACAGCAAGGAGGTAGAATTGTAGGAGAGGCCAGTATCATGATTGAAATGTCACGTGACCAGGCTCCTAACTATTCTTCATTTATTCACTGGAACTAATCAAGTAGTAAAATGTAATGCACAATTGTAAAGTGTAGCACTGTTTTTCAATAGCAATATGTGCTTGTGCACTTTACAGTATGGATGTTTTTGATCCCCTAAACCTCAATGGAAATGCCACTAAACGTTCGATGTGTGCTTTTTTTGTGCGTTTGTACACCTAAAGGATTCCTCTCCTCCTATAGATCTGCCCTCCCCCCTTGCCTTGCCTAGGAAACAAACTCCTGAAGCGTTATATATGTGCAAAAATGTTAATATTCCTGAAAAACATTTCAAAATCACCAGGAATGCGCTCTGCTCAGATGTGAATGCAGGCTACCTGTGAAACACTTTATATGACAATTATCACACACTCTTGGTTTTAATTTTCTACATTATTTTTTTGTACTTTTTTTATACTACCATCAACCCATGAAGAAAAAAAATAATGTCCTTTCAAATTTATTAGGTCCCTAAGATGAACAAATGTCAAGAACTATTGCACTAAAACTGTATTACAATCATTTCATGGGTGTAAAAGCCCCGACTTGGGATCTTCAAAGCCCTTTTGCCTCTCTTCTCTGTTCTACTTCTATCATATCCAATCCTGGTGGTCCAAGTGTAGCAAGCCCTGTACTGAGAATACATGCCATCTGGCACATGAGTTCTGTGAGTACACAAGCACTTCTCCCCACTATGTATACACAAACACCTTGGTATTCTAAATATTGAAATGGTCAAATGTGCAGATATCCAAGTATGTAAACTCCTGTTTACCTAATGTAATTGTATGTGAACAATCTACACAGGCAGTAAAACCAAATAATCAGGGATATTATGCATGAACAAGTCTGCCAACAAATAATCCATTTTTTTTTTTAATAAAAAGGAAGGAATCAGCAAAGCAGCAGCTATCAGTTCTGTTTTATAAAGGATCATAAGGTCCTGTATGGTATTTATTACACTACGTTACAGGAAATGCTCTATTCCGAGTTATTGCATTTCCTTCTCCCCTCTCACCAAACCTTTGGACTTCACTCCACCTAACTGAAGTGCTGGAGTATCTCATGTTAAGTTGGCAGAGGGATTTCTTTGACACCATTTAACTACTATTCACATATGCTATCAGATTTATGGAAACCTTATCTGAAATGCTTTTACTTTCAGGGCAAACACTAATGCAGGCCATAGACGGGCCGTTTATTGGCCGAATTGGATTGATTTTTAGGACTTATTCATAATAGCAGCAAGGACTGCAGCTCTTCTAAAAAGCAATCCATACTCAGATCACTTTTCAGAGGCATTTGACAGGTGGCAAAGAGGCAATAGGTTGCCTCCTCACCGCCTGTTTTTAACCCTGTAAAATGCAGCATCACCACAACCACGTGCAATGTGCACACGGCTGTGGTGTGGTTGTAGTTCAACCCCATTCACCTGGAGGTATAATTCCAGATGCGGCCACAGCATGTGTATATCCCCAGGTGCTGCTTCTGCAGCTAAAGGGGGAGCAGCTGGGGGTGGTAAAAAGCAGCTCAATTGCGTGGTTTTACTGCCCTCCAACCTCACTGGCAAACAAGCCCTTGGTTCACATCTGTGTGGCTGTGTGTAGGGCAGCCCATTCATTTCAATGGACTGCCTTACGCACAGAAATGCAGGGAAAGTCATCCCTGACCCTTTTTTTAAAAATGCACCACACCAAAAACACCCGGGTTTGCCAATATATGGGGTACCCCTAAAGAGCAGAGCATTTGTCTGCATGTCAGGAATGAGTGCAATTATGCGTGCATTCCGTGACACGCGGGAATGTGAACCAAGCCTTGGGCAGGGGTGCCTCGTGATTGATAATATTTTTCAAGGGTGCTCCGACTGGAAAAAGGTTGAGAAACACTGTGCTAGAACAACGAGCAATGGAGGAATACCAATGGGGGAAAAAAAAATAAAAAATTCACAGAGTTTAAACTTTTATAAACCACGATAAGCTGTATTTCTGAAAGACCCCTGAAGTATTATCATAGTAATCATTAGAATGAAGCTCTATTTTCTCACTTGTACTGGAAAAATGAGAGGGGGACACATTTGCTTGCCTACAAAGAAAAACATTTCTTGCAGTATTATATTCTTTATTGATTCTCTAACTCAGTTTCAACAAACTCACAAAGCGGAAAGAATTTGGGAGTGAGCAGAGAGTGAAATACAAGAAAACTGAATGTTGTGGAGTCAGTCTGCAGTCAGCTGATGGGAAAGTAACAAGTAGAGCCATGCTGAAGCTCATGTAACAATGACTAATGTGTCACATGAAGGAGTGACAATCTGTTGAAGCAATTATGGCAATCCCACAAGAGAAAAAACAAAACAAAATAAAAACAGCAACCTCTGATCCCAGAAACTTCAAGTGGAAGTAAACCAAA